ACGTTGCATTTCAAGTTACCTCCTGTTGAGGAAGTCCCAAGGTCATCTGAAACCATGTGAACGGCAGTTCGCACTTAGACATGGACAAAGTCAAGGATGATGGTTGGTCTCCACATATTTTCATTATCAATCGCCTGTAATGAAATCTTTAAAAAATGACAGTTAATTTTTTACAATGTAAGAAAAAAGGAAAAAAATATTAACTGATGGTATCTAGTGCTACATGTGAAGGTATTAGGAAGGAAAATATCCAGGAAAATTAATATTGTTAATTAGCTGCATGAACGAACTTCAGGCAAACACCAGCAGCACAGCAAATGAGGGTTCATTTGATTTAAATTCCTTAAACCGCGCACTCAAGTAAACTTCAGAGAGAGCAATAGAATTTAAGGATTCACTTTTTCCTTTAGGACATTTACCGAGCTCCAGTTTCAATATAAAGATAAAACTTGAGCATAAGTTGATGGCCAGAAATTAATATACTGCCACATAGAGGGACACTCTATAGTAATCTAGAGAACATTTAGATACTTATATCACCAGCTTTGCTTCTCTTCTTCAAAGGTGGCTTTTTGGAAATGTGGGGGTACTTATTAAAAATAAAGAAATTCCATACAGAATGTAAGAAGGATTTTTAATATCATGTTTCATTTCTTGGTAATAGAAAATATTATCTTGAAGGTATTCAAGCCGTACGTTTGAAAACAAATGACATTGACCCTGTTATTTTGAGGATAAGGTAGAAAACGGTAAATTTCCTATTTGTCTATTAGTATTCATTATACATTGATAAATTTTATCTAAGAGATTTCTACATACACGACTATGGTGAATTGCCTGAGACGGTGCCCTTTCAACATTCAAAGTAAAACTGAAACCATGAAAGGAAAGAAATATTGATTTCAGTGACAGATGTCACACTGGCTATTTCTTGACAGGACCATATCACATCATATGTCAAATGTCAAAGACGAGAAGTTAAAAATTAAGGACACTATGCTTATTGTGTGTTAGCCTATTTAGTCCCAAACATTCACAGTTTTCTGTTGCATATTTTCTTGTCGTCGTTGGTTATGTTTTCAAACACTAAAAAGAATTCAGTGTCATGAGATTTCGGTGCTGAGGTATCTTAAAAGTTATTTTTCCTTGATAGACTTGTCTGAGTGTTAAAGGCTCGTCTTATTTACCCATTGATTTTTCCCCAAGTGATTTTGGTTAATTTAATGGCTTTCAAAATCATGTATTATCTTGCAAAAATCCATTTTTCCTATATACATTCGAGTCAAATAAAAGATGTCTAATCTTTTTAAGGATGTATAGTTCAGTGTTCTTCAATTACTGAAGAACTACTCTTTCAACCTCCAGGGTTTTATTTAAAAAATAACTCCCAAATCTGTACTTTTTTTGTATTTATGTTGTATATGCCTGTAGGTACCTGCTGAGGCCATAAGAGGGGTCTGGTCCCCTGGAACTAGAATTAGTAAGCAACCCAACATGGGTGCTGGGAATCAAACTCTGGTCTTCGGCGGCGGGAGCAGCAAGTGCTTTTAAGGATGGAGAGATCTCTCTCTCCACACACACACACACACACACACACACACACACACACACACACCCCACTTCTTAACAAGTCTTAAAATTGACACTGTTATTGTCTGATATAACATGAACTAGAAAAGACTTTGACTCTCCCTGTTTATTCTGGAAATTCCTGTTATACTTAAGTACTTGGATGATCTTGGGTCAGAATTACCCAGCCCCTTTAAAGATCAGTGAATCAAATTTCTAGACAAGCACTGTGATGTTTACTTTGAAGTTTCAGTTACACAAAAGTTTTCCTAATAACTTAGAAGCAGTTCTATCCTAGACAAATTAAAATGGGGCATCTTTTAGCCACCATTTGAGTTTATGTCCTTCTGCCCTAGATGAGTCTCTGATTGTCAAGTAGGCGGCCTCTGTCTTCAGTTACTGTCTCGGTGTTAACAGGGTAAATGTTTAAGATTAAAAATGTTTCCAACAGTCCTGCTTTATAGAGCTAGAAACATTATTAAGTATCATTTAGATTTCTGTTTAGATTTGTATGTCCAGTCAGGAATGAGCAGTTTATAGTACCCCCCCCACCATCTCCTTCCTTTAAACAAACAAATAAAACAATACCACATATGTTAGCTAAAGAGAACCCCTCCCTAGACAAACAAATAATAAACCCTTCAAATGCAATGTCTTGGAAATACAGGCACATTGTTTTTATAATTGAATTCTTAATAAGGTTTCATTTCATCTCGTCTACCTACAATTTCTTCTTCTGTATTATACAATTTATGACTTTAAAATCAAATGTTAACAACATGCCATCATAGGCCTTTCTAAAGTGGGGAGAACTTTGAAAGCTAAATCCCTCTCTAAAAAAGGTGACAAGTGGCAGAGTAGGATGGCTTGCCCCTCTTTTTCGTGATGTCAGAAAAGTTTTCTTTTTAAAATTACTATTTTCATCTTTTTTACCAAGGGCAAAAGCGCAATGACAGGGAGAGGAAAACAAAAGCATTCTCTTCCATTCTTTGCCTCTTCAAACCCCACACAATAAACAAAGCAAAATCCACTTCCCACCTACCTCCCAAAGCAGCCCCTAGCATTGGGGAAGAGTTTCTGTGGAACTAACTGGGAAGCTTTCGGCACTCTGAGTTACCTAGCTCTTCAAGGGGACCAGGCAATGGCCAGCCTGGTAGAGCAGGAAGCAAGAACCCATCACTGAGAGGCAAACTTAGGAAAGTAACTGTTGAAAGTCTCCAAAGGAGATTTGAAGAGGCAGGACAGTAGAAGCTGATAGAACCAATTGTATTTTTTTCCAAGGCATTTCTAATTTTTACGATTATCCCCCCCCCCCCACACACACACACTTCTTTTACTATCTGTCTTTGTGCCTCCAGGGCCAGGGAGAGAGTGGGGCAGATCTGAGATTGCTTTCAGAGTTTCCTTCCTCTGATGATGGATTACCATGTCAATTTAAACGGCATAGGATTAATTTGTTTCAATGATTTCTCTTTAGGCTGAATGCCAGGCATTTTCTATCTCTCCCCCTTGCTCTTCAGAACAACAACGAGAGAGAAAGAGAGAGAGAGGGAGGGAGGGAGAGAGAGAGAGAGAGAGAGAGAGAGAGAGAGAGAGAGAGTCTTTCCATATTTTAAGTTGAGAGACAGTAATGGAAATAGACAAGTTGGGTGTACTGTGGCAACACAGTTACAGGTTTGAGTCTTTTTATCTCTGAAACATACAGTCAGTCACATTAAAATGAAATTGGTCCCAACGTTTATTCAATAAGTACTTGTCTTGTAGATAATCCAGTGTAGAGTGCTTCTGACATATAAGGATTTAATTTCTCTTGGACAAGTTATTAGTACAACACGTTTAAACTCACCACTACCATGAGGTGATTGAGATCTCTAACAACCTTAAATACTCACTGTGCAAAGAGAGTTTGTATGAGGGAGGGGACCCTTGGGAGAATGCACGTTTCACACATGCACACACGAGAGCAACACAGGCACCCGTGCATGTCTGTGCCTGTAGTCACACATCTCCTCAGTTCCCATATCCACATTCTTCATTGATGCTAAAAAAAAATTCTATCCATTATGCAGGTGTATCTAACCTTTCCAGAAATGAAAATATCCGGTTTTAATTTTTTGAAGGATTTCTAAAGTACACAAGAAAAAAAAATGCTTTTCAAATTCGCTTCCTCTGTGAGACCAGACCTATTATGAGGTAGAACGTGGTACGAGAAAGCACCTAGGTGCCATCCAAAATCAAGCACCGCCCTCCCCATCGCCTACCCCCTTCCCCACACTCTTCTCACTTACACTAAACTTACAGCTAGCTAGAGGATGCTGCTGAGAGAAAAAGGGCAATTTAAGTGAAATGGTGTATCCTAAAGTGATTCTTTTATTTCCCAGTTTAAAGGGCACTCCTTCAGCAGTCTCAGAAAGATAGGAGAGGGATTCCAATCTAAGTACTGATCATCTTGGGAAAACATGATGGTTTCCACTCTTTTTTCCTAATGGTCTCTCGTTATTCCAGGACCGCCCCCCCCCAATGAAAATTTAGCATCATAGTTCGGAATAATAAATTGCATTCGAAATCTGAATACAAATAGTTTGCAGAGCCTTCTCCCTTTCTCTTCAGCCCTCCGAATGCTCGGCCGCTCTTTATTCTTGTAGCTCCCAGTTTGTAAGGACAGACACAATCAGAGGCCAATCAATGGCTGTCAGAACTGAATCTATGCAATTTTAATTTGTTAAAAAAAATAGTTGTTGGTTGCTAACCTCAGGGGGGGGGGGAGACTGTGTATCTCCGAGAAAACGGAATCTTGGGGAGCTCTCCCTGGGAAATGGTATTACATGTGAGCAGAAAATCCAGGCAAGAAAGGCTAATTGAATGGAAAGAGAGAATTAGGTTAAAAAATAGAGTACAATCTAATATCCCATTTTCACTAGTGTAACTTGAAATGAAGGTGTCTTCGAGTCGCCAGTGATGCCAGAGCGTTTAGATGTTGGCCACAGATGGGAACACCTATTGAAATGTGTCTGAAGAAGATTAATAGGGCTTGTCACTGTTGGGAAAGCACGGCTTGGCTGTAACTTTCCACCGGCCCAAGATGAATTACCGATGAATGCTCACTTATCAACCCCATCGCTATCGTTCGACACTAAATCAAATTGAGAAGTTATCTGCAATCAGAAAATTTCTTTTTAAAATAGACATATACCTTTAGGCCCCAACTCCTTAATAATCCCATTCAGAAAACAATCCCCAGCCCTAGATGCTTCTTCGGCGCAAGCCGAATTATATAGCTCAGTAATAAATATATTTTTAAAGTTCACACGCAAACGGACAGCTGGTCAGGCTGAGGAGTTTGACAGTATTTTAATGAGTATGAAGGCTTCTTGGAAGTCACCGTTTAATATTTCAGCAAATGCATTCTTATTTTTTTTTTCCCCATTTAGATCCACTACTCCCTTAATGGAAAAGCAAAAACGAGAGAGTGGATTTGCTGGCCTAACTTTGGGACCTCACAGTTATCGAATGCTCTGGTAATATAAAATTATGAGGATTTTTAGTTCAGATAGAGAACAGAAGAACTAAGTTAAATGGATGGTTGAGAAAGGTACCCATGTGGAGATTTTAATGGCTTAACGATGCTGCATATGTCTCATTTTGGGGATGTGTTGAGACTTCTATTGGACTAGGCGTTCAGTCGATGACAGAAATAGACTCAGCCTCCCCCCTGCCAGTTTCCTCTTTTTAAAATTTTTTTTATTTATTTATTTATTTATTTATTTATTTATTTATTTATTTATTTATTTATTATGAGACAGGATTTCTCAGTAGATATGGAGCCAGTCCTGGAATTCACACTGTAGACCAGGCTGGCCTCAAACGCACAGAGATCCACCTGCCTCTGCCTCCCTAGTGCTGTGTTCTCTCTCTCTCTCTCTCTCTCTCTCTCTCTCTCTCTCTCTCTCTCTCTCTCTCTCTTTTAAAGTAGCATCTCACTATGGAGCCTTGACTCACCTGGAACTTTGAGAGTCTCTGTTCTCTGTCCCTCCAATGCCATGTTTAAGGGCCTGAACTACCATGCCCAGCCTTCATATCTCATTTTGAAGGTGATTTATTTGAGAAGCAAGACAAGTCTTTATCTCCTTTTATTATTTATTAACGAACTCTGGGCAGCTAGTATCTTTCCAAACTTAGGTTCATTTTGTTTCAATAAAACCACCAAGTGCTGTGTTTTGCAGTGCCCTTCCTACTCATGGAGTCCTTTCGCACGCAGGAGTCATTTGACTTCTACTGAAATTCTGTTCAGGCAGATTTTTGTTTTGAATTTCCATTTTGCTGATGAATAAACTGAGGCTGGGATGTCTGAATTCAGGGAGTCAATAGAGACATAGACAGAACTGGAAACTGTGTTCCTATGTCTCGTAGTTTCCATGGGGGATTTTTTCTTACACCCCAAGTCATGACACAAATCGAGACTAAAAGACTATGGCAATGGTGATTATGACTAGCATCTAACACATGCTAGAATGTGAACACTAACATGCTACTTAACCCCTGTTCATCTCTTAAGTAGATCAGACAACAAAACCAGGTTTCTAGATGTTAGGGATTTGTCTAAAACATACATTGCTGGGAAATTGGGGATACTCAGGAAGTTTGAATGAAAAGCCAGGATGATGGTAGCTTATTCTAGGACCCAGTCTGTAATTGCAAGAAGATTTGCATTGCACTGAGTGGGCACAAGACATCTCTCTTATTTTCTGAATATGAAAATTTTTCAGATTCTGAGGCAGCGTGGAATAGTTCATGGCTCAGTTTCTTTGTATTTACTTATTATTTATGTATCTAATTTGCAGTGCTTGTGATCAAACCCTAGGGTCTCACACCTGCAGAGAAAGTCATGTACCACTGAGATGCATTGCCCAGCCCTGTACCCTGACTGTAAATTCCAGCTTTGCCAGTTACCAAGTATATGACCTCCATTCCACTGGCCTTTATTTTCCTCCTCTCAAAAAATGGGATGATTAGATTCAGTGTACCGAACTAGGATGTTTGGAGATGCTTTTCTCACTTCGGAGAATGAGGAGCGGAACCAAGAAGCAATTGTCATGTCTGAGTCGAGGGTCTATAGGACTCATTCACAGGCAAAAGGGATGGCTCCCCCCTTCTAGAGGCTGTCACTAAGAATGCTCAGCACTATAAGAAATTATTTTATTTGCTTTGCCTCTAGAGAATCTGGAACTGTCATCTCTAATGGGTCTGGACCAAGACCCGCGTAGGCTCAGGTCTCTTCTCCCAAGTAGCGTCGTATTTGTCTTCAGTTTATACGCAGCATCTGATGATTTGAGATCTGCACCAAAGTCCTCATGATGCTTAATACAACTCAAATGCTCTGTAGATAGTTTTACTACATATAGTTACACTATATATAGTATAGAAAATAAGTATGTATATTATATTATA